AAGAGGCACATGCACCGCTACCTGCTCTGGGAGCACTGGCTGGAGAGCTGCCTGGCGGAAAAGGACCTAGGCATGCTAATTGAGAGCCGGCTGAATATGAGCCGGCAGTGTGCCCAGGTGGCCCAGAAGGCCAACAGCGTCCTGGCCTGTATCAGCAATTGTGTGGCCAGCAGGAGCAGGGAAGTGATCATGCCCCTGTACTCGGCACTGGTGAGGCCGCACCTCGAATCCTGTGTTCAGTTTTGGGCCCCTCACTACAAGAAGGATGTTGAGGTGCTGGAGCGTGTCCAGAGAAGGGCAATGAAGCTGGTGAGGGGTCTGGAGCACCAGTCTTATGGGGAGCAGCTGAGGGAACTGGGGTTGTTCAGTCTGGAGAAGAGGAGTCTGAGGGGAGACCTCATTGCTCTCTACAGTTACCTGAAAGGGGCTTGTGCTGAGGTAGGTATTGGTCTCTTCTCCCATGTAACTAGTGATGGGACAAGAGGAAATGGCCTCAAGTTGTGCCAGGGGAGGTTTAGATTGGATATTAGGAAAAATTTCTTCACTGAGAGGGTGGTCAAGCATTGGAACAGGCTGCCCAGGGAGGTGGTGGAGTCACCGTCTCTGGAAGTGTTTAAAAAACATGTGGATGTGGTGCTTCAGGGACATGGTTTAGGGGGCATGGTGGTGTTGGGTTAATGGTTGGACTTGATCATCTCAAAGGTCCCTTCCAACCTTAATGATTCATCTTCTAAGCACACCCCTTGAGAGGAAAACTAAGACTTTCTTTTCTTTCATCAGGCTGACTTTGATGGTGCTGCAGAAGATGTAAAAAAATTAAAAACAAGACCAACTGATGAAGAACTGAAGGAACTATATGGATTCTACAAACAGGCTACTGTTGGAGATATTAATATTGGTATTCCTATTCCTATATATATTTCACATTTACTCCCATATCTTGATGAAATCAAGCAAATAACATTTATTTATAAATCTGCATGATAATCAAACATATGCATTTATTTTGGCAGAATGTCCAGGAATGCTAGATTTGAAAGGCAAAGCCAAGTGGGAGGCATGGAACCTGAAAAAAGGTGTTACACCAATTGAATTTACATCATGTAATCATGTTTATAGGATGACAAATGAGGAAGGATAATGACTCCTACTTTCTTTTGCAGGTTTATCAAAGGAGGATGCCATGAATGCCTATATCTCTAAAGCAAAAGCAATGGTAGAAAAATACGGCATCTAGAATACTCAAAATAATTACCACTAATAACTAATCCTTCAGTATGAACTAACTGTTGAGAAAATGCAATACTAACTCCTTACTGTGTAGTCTGACAGTAAAATTTTTTAAGCATAAGCTGTTTGACTGTAAAGAATGTTTACATACATACTCTATTTTTAGATTGTTTCTTACTCTAAATAAATTTTAACCTAATAAATTAAGCTTTGTGTAAGAATTGTGGATTTTTCTGGGTATTAAATTACATTTAGCATTTTTACAGGAGCACACAAACATTAACATCTCTAAAGGACCCAAAGCCAATGTTTATTTTAGAAAACTCAGGAAAAACTCCCCCATTCAAAGGTTTACAATAAAGATCTGGAGGAGCAGCACAATTCTTAGGAATGCAGCTGTACAGAAAGAACGACTTACTGGGAAGTGCTATGGACTAATCTTATACCTTCTGCCATTAAAATAGAGGAAAATACTCATATACCAGTGTTTTCTATACATTTTGTTATGTGTTTTGTCAAGAAAATTTCATTAGAGCGTTCCAGCAGATAAAAGTGACCTCCAGGAAGATTGTAAAAGGAAGTATCTCCACTTGTAATATTGTGCCAGCCTGAAAAAGATATTTAAAGTGTCAGATAAGTGTCAACTATTTACATTAACTATTTCAAAGTTATTATTTAATAATTATTTTAAATCCCATATTAACTGTTTTGGTTCATACACTGAGACTGTTCTGTTGATTTGTTTCATTTAAGAAGGAGATAAAAGCCTCTAGAAAACTCTTCGTTAACTGATTCAATAGAACAGGAAAATGTGTAAGTATAAGAGGAAAACCATTTAAGGAAAGTACCTTCTAAATCATGTGAATCATCTTCAGACCCATTAAAGCAGGTAATATCACAAGTGAAGGGGATATAGTTTTCTGCCTTCTCAAAACTGTGAACATAAAAAGTAGTAATAAAACTTTCCGTAAGACACCTATATTTGGGATTTGCTTCCACATACAAAATAACTTTTTATTTCTCCTCCAAAACATAACAAACTTCAGGAATTAGATTGTGCAGAACATCAGGAGAAGGAATTACTGTATCTGTAAGATTCTTAGTTTCCTACCCTACTGCAATTAGATCTAAAATTTTAAAGAAAGAATGACTCAGTAGTTAGGAAAAAAGCTTCAACCTGCAATAAAAATTCTCACCTACAATAAACGATTACTTTGTCAGCTTATATTCAAGTTCTAATGTTTCAGGGCCTCATCAGCGCCGGGTTCCTATCGCTAAAATGGGTCCCACATCCAAGACTGTCCTTGGCTTTGCCAGGGCAAGAAACCTTAACCCCTCAGCTCCATGAGCTGTTGTGTAACATGCTGGGACTGAAGCAGTCAGTTGCTCTCTGGATGCTTAGAACACAGGGATTCTTTGCTTCTGGTTAGGCTATGGGGCCTGGGATCAAGAGGCTGAATGCAGTGGTCCCGAAGCATGATCAGTTGAGTTTATTAGCCTCAGAAAACAGTAAAAGATGTGAGAATATTCCTTTTAGTGGCTACTAACCTTGGATCCTAAGTAGAACTCTAATTCTACCATGGCATGTTCACTACTGTGATAACAGCAGTGGTTCCTACAGTAAGCAGTGTTTTCATCTAGGGCTTAAATACTAGAATATAAATGGAAAAGCACACACAAGAGAAAACTATGTTTACTGTTTCATAGTCTTTTTATAACAGAAAGAAGAACAAATTACAGAGGAAAAAAAAAGAAAACCTGAAACTATCAGACAGACGTAAAACTGTAAAATACAAATGTAATACAAAACTGTAAAACTTACGAAAATGTCTGAAAAACTCTAAAGTCTTCTTTGAAAACAAGTAACAGCTGCTTCTTAATGTCTTCATTTTGCAGAAACTCAGGAGGAGTTCCTCCTAAAACTTCTATATATTTAAGAAACTCTTCATCTCTTTTTTCATGTATACGTATGCTTTGGATGGGAAGAAGTGCTTCAGACTGTCAGCACCAGACAAAACAGATCATGTGTTGTATATAATGTGCTTTAAATAATATTTTCATTAAGAATTGTTTTAGTAAAAAGTGCAATGATTCTCTGTCTCCAAAATATAATGGCTGATTAGTTTAACATCCACAAAGAATACTTCTTGGAAAGGGTTAGTAGACTGTGTTTGCTGAAAACACAGATTATGAGTGAGCCAAGTACCCTTGAGGTCTGAAACTTCCAGAGACAAATAACTTAATTTAATTTTGTTCAAAGTTTAGTCTCACTATTGAAATACAACTAATAAAATAATCTATTGAAGAGAAAGAAAAGCCTAGCAGTGGACACAAATCTGACTAATGTAGGACTGGAGAGACCAACAGATTATGGAAATATGCAGGTATAATAATTGCTTCTATGAAGTACTAGCTCATACTCAGGATTGCTAAGAAGCCCCAGAAAAAGAAGAACAGGAATAGCAAGTGCTGACTGAGGACATGAGGACTGGGAAAAAGCCACTTCACTGTTGTTTTCCTGAGAAAGACTAGCAGAACCACCAGAACCTCAGAAGGAACTGAGGTCAGATTAAAAAGCCAACGGAGAATGAGGAGGGAAAGAAATAAGTGGACAAATGTACTGAGGGCTGGTGCAGGAGGCTTATGAAAGACTGGGTTAAGACAGTTATTTCACGTTACAGAGTAGGCAGTGGCACTTCATATTTTGTTGTGATTACTTTTTTAGTATTAAGCCAAAGGCCATGGTAAATAACTCAAAAAAGTAGCATTAGTTTAAGGAGACTGTTCTCCCTAGGCTAAGGTTAGCAACAGTGAATATTCTGTAATGTGATGCTTTCCATCCGCCTCAGAATTAATTTTCTCTAAGAAAACAGAACATTTTTCTGCACACATTCAGAAGCAATGCTTGTTTTGTGTTAAAGCCACTCTGTATCCCATAGTGTAAAATGTTATTTTTACTCTTGGTAGCTAATATACTGTTTTGTTTCATACAATTAATGATTCTGTAACTTACGTTTGGGGCATGTGCCCCTGATACGAAAAGATGGATCGGCTCTAGTCCATACTTTTCTTTCAAGTTTAGTGCAACTGCAAAACTAACATAAGATCCAAAACTGCAGCAAAAAGAAATTAAAGCAAAAAACATATGTAAAAACTGTAAAATTTAAATATAATTTGAATTTCAGTGCTAACTGGCTATCTTGAACAGTTATTGAAACCATATATGACATATAAATTATAGTGATATTAGCTAAATCACATGAAATGTATTCCTATACAGTCTAGTTTTACAAATCAGACTTTTTTTAATCACTGTTTCTTTTAGTAGTCTCCTTAATTTGCAGTAAGAACAGTTATTTTGAATACTTGGGACTAAGTGACCTTCAAAATCTGTGTGTTATATGAATGGTCCCCCCCCACATTCACATAGAGCAAGCACTGACACAAACTTTAACAGTAAACACAATTATAATTTATCAGTGTAAAAAAAACCAAAACACAACTCTGGCCTTTTTAGAAGACACTGTGCCTAAAGTAATAAATAAATAACCAGAGTCTTTAAGATCAACAGCATGTTTTAGGATGACTTGACAAAAGGCCTTTGCAGAAGTGTGTTTTCCTAAAGCTTTTGCAAATAAAGGCAACTATCTACTCCTAGAGTTCAAACATAAAGCTCCTCACCAGGGTATCTAAAAAGGTATATATTTTTATCTAAAAAGGTATATATTTTTACCTGTGACCAAAAAATGCAAATGGTTTGTCTTGCACTTCTTTTAACAAAACACTTGTAATTTCATTAACAATGGCTGTCATGTCTTTCGCAAAAGGCTCCTTAAGACGACATTCTCTTCCAGGAAGCCTTACAGAGGACACTGCACAAGAGGTGGAGGAAGGGAGGGAAAAGAATGATAGTTATTTCAAATAGAAACAGTAAAATAATTTTGTTTAAGTTTTTTAATTTATTCTGCAGAATATATAGATTATTTAAATTAATCCTTCTTAGAGTTGATACAGTGTATTTGCTATGGCTACTACTGTCTTTTAATCCTGTGAGAGATTAGGTTTCCACCCTTTCCTTTACTCATAAATGTTGCCTCTCCAATTGATTGATTGATAAATGCCTTGGGTCAGAAATCCATAAGGTCCTGATCTCAGCTGAAGCTTCAAAGAAACTTTATTACTATTAGTATTAACAGGAATCACAAATTCATTAATTTCAATAATAGTAAGTTTGAGGGTTGTGTAAAATACATCCCTTTAAGGGCAGCATTAGAAAGTTAAACTATATTAGAATTGTACAGTCCCTGTTTTCTTCTTTGCAGGTTCTTCAGCACTGCACGTAGTAAAATGTGGAATCATAGTATAAATTGATGACAATTTATATTTATATGGGAGGACATATTACATGCGGGTATTATATTCCTTTCAAAATTGGGGATTTTCCTCTCACTGTTCAGAGAAAGTAAGGAATGAATAGATCAGAAAAAAATGTTGATTTTCTAAAAACCTCCTTGACATCACACATACTGCCAAACTCATACAGAAGTAATGGGTCAGACGCAAAGTATATTAGAAGAGATAGAATAAATCAGTACCTAATACCAGAGATAGCAGTACAGAAATGTTTGCATCTTCTACACTTCCTTTCCGCACGAAACATCTCTCAAAGAGCATGCTGCACCCTGATTTTATTCAGCTGTGTCTGAAGTTGCTCCTAGGCCATCTCCTTACTAACTTTCTTGGAAGTAGTTCCGGCAGACAAAAGCTTTTCTTTTTTTTCTTTTTCCTCCAAGGAAAATTGAATGTGACTTGTGCAACTGTTTACAGAAAGCACACAAGCATTTAGAGGACTGATACAATTGCAGTGGCAATGCTCTCTATAAATGCTAATTTTTTTTTTTTCCATTGTGGAAGATCTGGAAAATGGCCTTGGTTCCTCCTCAAATAGTTCAGCAATGAATCTTTTCTGTGCTGACAGAGCCAGGTAGCAATGAGAATTACTTTACACTGTAATTAAATGTCATTTCACTGTTACAACTCCATAGTTTAACCTTCAGTTTTGATACAAGGAGTGCAAAACCATGCAAACATGTTGGATAATGGAAATTCATTCTGTGCAGTCTCTCAACATCAAAAATTGTTCTCATATCGTCATAGTTAACCTTGATGATGCCTTTTTTAACATATTAACAATATGATATTGTTTTGCTGTTTCTGAATCATACCAACAGTTTCTGAAGCAGTCAAGAATACCATAGTGTAGATAGCTAGGGTCTGGCAGCCGGAAGATATCGCGCTGTACG